AAATAAAAAATAAAAATAAAAACAGTGCTTTGGGAGATATTTAAGTTACAGGAGGAGAAAGACAAGACCGTGAAGCTACGAGCATGGGTTATGGGAGAATCTGAAGGCAATGACAAAGGAGACATGATTCTCAAATAAATGCCATCAAATTCCAGAGTAGTAATAGAATGCCTAGCATACAGCTATTGCTCATATAAAAGGATTAAAGTAAGTGGTGTTGAATATCCAGCTCAGATCAGGTATAAGTAATGGTGTGTGTGTGTGTGTGTGTGTGTGTGTGTGTGTGTGTGTGTGTGCGCGCACTTCAATAAGAGGCTATAAGAGAAGGAGGCGGCTGGATGATGCTGAGGTTTGACGCCTGCAGGTGCTTAGGTGGGGAAAGAGCGCGGCAGGGTGGCCACTCTGACATGAGGGTCCGGTGGGAGAAATGACACGGCATGGGGATGGCCTGTGACCCAGAGAAGTCAACCAGGAGAGGGGTAACAGCTGCGGAGAAGAGACAGTTCGAGTGATGTGGTGTGAGTCAGGGAGCTGGAGGGAGAGGAGGCTGTGATCAGAGTGGCAGACTAGTTCCTGCCATTGCAACATGTCCCCGTTGGCACGAGGGTCAGCAACGGCCACAGGTTCGTGGAAGAAACTGGGAACAGAGGCCACTACCGTTGAGAGTATCAAGGAATCGCTGCGAAGTGGGTGAGGGGCCGCTTGAGAAATCCCACGGCCGACGCGTCACGTCCCCACCGCAGACAGGCCTCTGCCCCACGGCACCTGCTGGCACCAGGAGGCACGACGGACTTGACCCAGAGAGAGTCCGCCTCGCCCAGGAGCCGCCGTCGTGACGCGGTGTGCGGAGCGCGGAGTGCGGGCGACTCCGGGAACCCTTCCAACGTCGTTGGGGGAAAGCTGGTGATGCAAACAGGGATGCGGGCGGGGACAGCCAGGGCACGGCCGTGAGTCATGCGAGCCCGTGACAGCAGCCGTCCCCCAGCCGCAGCTGGCGGAAGCCCTAAAAAGGCCGGGGGAGCCCATCGCAGAGACACCTACTTGGGATGGCATGCCTCCTCTCTCCCGCAGTGTTTCTGTAAACACGGGCCTAGACATCTCCTTTGGCCTCCAGAGGAACATTCTAGGGCTCCGTTGCTTTCCGTTGTGAGATGCTGATGTCAGAGGCTCTTGTTTTCTCCAGCCGTTGACATTCAAATCAGTGCCAGCTCCTCACTAAGCGTTTCCAGCTTCCTCAAACGTAGGAGATCAAATCTCTCCCGGTCTCCACCCAGCTACCCAGCCTCGCAGATGCTGTGGGTTGTGCTGGTGTTAACTCAGGATCTGATAACCCCGGTCTCTTAAACACACAGACTGAGGCCGCAGGGCACACACACTCTACAGCCGGAGGAGCTCCAGGGAGGGGAGGGACCGGCTTCCCCAGTTCTGGGCGATGCCCAGCGTGCGCATCTCAGACCCGGATCTCAACTGGAATCCTGGCTCTCCCGCTGGTCGTCTTATGACCCGGGGAAATGAAACTTTCTGCGCCTCCATTTCTTCATCCGGCGAACGGAAACGATAATACCTACTTTCCAGAGCGGATGGCAAGATGAATCATGAGAATGTGCGGAGGATGCCTGAGGAGTGACAGCAGTTGACCGGGTACTAGGTCCACCTGTCACCCTCCCACGACTCTCTTCTTTTTTTTTTTTTTTTGCTTCTATAAGTACCATGGCCTGGGGTTTCTGCGACAGTGCAAAACATAACCTGTCACCTTATATTCTACTATTAAATTCCTAATTTAGTTAGGAATTAATTTAATTAATTAGTTAAAACGCATAATTTTTCTCCTACGAGTTGATTTTTATGGTCTTTCAACTGGTGACCTTTTTCTAGGTGGATTTCCACTTCCTTGCATCATTCTGGACCTCACCTCCCGTGGTTAGATGGGGTTTGCCATGGGCAGATAACCTCTTTGGAATCCTAGCCTCTGGAACCCCTCGTAAGAATGGCAGGTATCATGTCATGGTCAAATGCATACTGTGCACCCATTGGCCTTTGAATCTGTCACTTGTTAGGAATTACCCTTCACACCTATAAAATCAACTTAGTACAAATACAGAGAGAGATAGGACTGGTTCCTTAAAGTGCGTGCATGAACTTTAGAAATCCTTTAGAAATCCAAGCACTGTATTTACTTTATAGTCTATGTGACAAAGATACCGACTTCTTATCCTCTGGGTACTCATTAATTGTGCTTAACATCTACTAGGACAGTAGTCCTCAAAATTTTGCTGCACAGTGGCATCACTTGGGAATCTTTAAAAAATTCAAATTTTTCTTTGCCATTCCCAGACGTTGTTGCCTTAATTGATACAGGGCTTGACTTGGGCGTTTCCAGATGAAGACGATTCTAAAGGCACAGAAAAGTTTGGCAACTGCTGTTTGAAACTAGTATCTACCCAAGAGCCATCATAGATAAGACGCTTACGTCTGTGTATGTGTGTTTATGGTAATGTTACTCCAGTTGAGTCCACGGATTCATTCGGTAAACATTTGTAGACGTGTGAATCATCTTACTGCTCTCACCTCCTTACGCCGTGCAGACACTCGCATTTTCTACACATTGAGAGCTTGTGGCAACCTTGCGTCGAAGGAGTCTATCAGCATGTTTCCAACGGTATTTGCTCACTCTGTGTCTCTGTGACTCATTTTGGTGATTTGCACACTATTTCAAGCTTTTTCATTACATTATATTTGTTATGATGATCTGTGATCAGTGATCTTCGGTGTTCCTGTTGTAATTGTTTGGGGGCACCAGGAAACACACCCACATAAGAGGGTGAACTTAATCGACAACTGTTGTGTGTGTCCTGATGTTTTCATTACTGAAGTTTTCCCATCTCTCTCCCTCTCCTCAGACTTCCCTATTCCCTGAGACAAACAATATTGAAATCAGGCCAGTTCATACCCCTACAACGGCCTCCAAGTGTTCAAGGAAAAGGAAGGGTCGCGTGTCTGTCACCTTAAGTCAAAAGCTAGAAAAGATTCATCTTAGTGGGGAAGGCATGATGAAAGCCAAGACAGGGCCAAAATCTAGACCTCTTGCACCAAACAGTGAGCCACATTGTGAATGCAAAAGAGAAGTTCTGGAAGAAAATTAAAAGTGCTACTCCATGAACACACTGATGATAAGAAAGTGGAACAGCTTTATTGCTGATGGAGGGAAAGTGTCAGTAGTCTGCATAGAAGATCAAACCAGCCACAACATTGCCTTCAGTCAAAGCCTAACCCAGAGCAAGGCCCTAACTCTCTTCAATTCCATGAAGGTGGAAAGAGGTGAGGAAGCTAGCAGAGGTTGGTTAGTGAGGTTTAAAGGAAGAAGCCGTCTCCATAACATCGAAGTGCCAGATGGAGGGGCCCCTGGGTGGCTCAGTGGGTTGAGTGTCCGACTTTGGTTCGGGTCACGATCTCACGGTTCATGAGTCCGAGCCCCACGTTGGGCTCTGTGCTGACAGCTCGGACCCTGGAGCCTGCTTCG